TTGGAACAGCACAAAAAGAATGGGCCAAGGTGGTTCAGTTTTTCAATGGAGGAATTAAATAGCGTACACAAACCTGGCACCAACACAGGTAAGCAAAGACAAAACAAAACCTCTAATAGATGAAATATGAGTACAAATCAAAAGCCTATGAATGCTAATTCCCTAACAAATTTAGTGGCAACTGATTATCATCTCATCCATGTAAACAACCACTAGGAATGCTCATTAAAACAATATAGTTATCAGACATCTTTATGCAAGTGTATACACCAAATTCATAATGCTTTATCATGCCCAAATGCCCAATTCACAGCCATGCAAAATTGGCCCAGCAAGTAGGTGGCCATTTAAGATTTCTTTGGGTGTTGGGACCTCAAAACCCGCAATGCACATAGATTATGAAGTAGATAAACATTATGAGACAAAGGTGGTGACATTAAATTTATATACTTGAGCCCAAGAAGCTATGTGCTGTTAAAGTTCCGCAAGACATCCCTAATCCCCATAGTCTGACTAGAAATTGTACAAATATACAGTATAATTAGTACTTGATTATAAATTTATAACGATCCAACAAACTTAATTACGAACTCAGCCCCTTTGCCAATATCCCAAAATCTAATCCACCCACAAGGAAAATATGTTAGAATAATTCCACATTAACCTTATATATAATTAAAAAAAAAAAAAAAAAGAAGAATCATACTTCCTAAAGTAATTGGAAATTCTAAAAAGCTTCTAGATTGATACTTGAGCAAAAGTTCCTAATCTTTTTTTTTTTTTTTTTTTTTTGGGGGGGGGGGGGGGGAATAACTATAAGGTTCCGAATTGTATCGACAATCCATAGACAACCTTAGTACGTACTTTACCATAATTCGAACAATCAAAGTGTAATCAGAAAGAAAACTAATAAAGTAATCCAAAGTGCCCATTTGAAAAGCCACCACCATTTCAACTTTGATCTGTAACAGCTAATAAACTAATACATCTAAAGTTTTACCAAGATTCATCCCTGCTCAGTCATGAACACGTGGGACATTCATAATCGTTACGGACCTAACATTTCTCACCTACAAGAATATGACAGCAACAAGCAAATTCATCCAAGATGATCTAGAATTCTACACCAACATTAAAATCAAAATGCAATCAATCAAAACTACCCCTCTTTAATTAAAATTCAATAACAACCACAGGTTAGGATTCTGCCGTAGTAAAATGAGGGACCCACAAAAGCCCCCAATTTGCAAAAACAACCACAAATTCACATTGGGAAGTTCTAATTGTTCTTTCACAATGAAGACCTGAAGAACCCAAATTCCAAAACTAATTAAACTTCTTCGTCCACTAATCAAAATTCAAAATTATATAAAAAAAATAAAACAATCACCGATACTAAGACCGGAGATCAAATCCCGTCTACATAAAAAAATGATCATTTATGAATTAAATTAATCAAAATTATCAACAACTCCACAAATACAAAAAGAAAAGAATATAATATTAATAATCAAAGTAACTAAACAAAAACAAAACCCCACAAAATTAAAACAAAAAAAAAGGGAAAAATTGAACAAACCTCAAAAGGGGTGACAATAACGAGGGCTTCAAGAACACCAGCACCAAACCCAGAAAACAAACGACCTTGATAACTAAGTTTACCAGTTTCAGAGTCTTTAAAAGCCGATTGAAGGACAGCATTAGTACCCATACGAAGGGCATACTTAAGAGTAAGATGAGTAGCAAAAGGGGTCAATCCCTTCCAAAGGGCACGTACCCCTTCAGTATTAGCAACAGTAGTACCACAATGAAGGATACCCTTGTAATTTCCAGCCCTATCAAGCTGTAAACGGGTTTTGATAACGTCAATCGGCTGTAAACAACAGGCTTCTACGATTCCTCCAACTGACCCTGAAATGGCTTTCATGTATGGTGGGACTGTCACCCTCGTTGTGATTTGGGTTGAATTGTTGTTGTTTTTCTGGGTTTCTGCTGCCATTTTTGTGGGTTGTAGAGAAAACTGGAGGAAGAAGAAGAGGGGATTGTTTTTTCTTCTCCAGGTGTTCTGAGTTTGAGGGGGAGGAGAGAGAATGAAGATGGTTAAATGAGGTTGCTTTGTAGTAGCCGCTTTCTGACGTGGGTATGAAGTGGCTCGTTGTTCTAAGTAGTTGCTGTTTTGAGTATTTTTTATACGGACTATGGTCTATGGACTGTGTAGATTTGCCACTAATTTGGAAATTTATGGGTAAAATACTAAAATGACGTTTTTTTAAAATTGTGTTCAAACTTTATGGGCGCCTTTGTTCCTCTTCAAAAACACTTTCTTCCCAACGTGTTAAATAATTACTGTAATATTATAAATATTTAAAAATATTTGCAAATTATAATTGTGGTTGTCACGTCATGTGGTTACCCGATTTGTGTTACAGGGATACTTCATCAATATATAGGGGTTTTCAGTTAGTATTATAAGGACTATTTGGTCAGCATTACAAGAATTAGGGTATATTCACATTTACTGAAATGAGTTGAACTGAACTGAGCTGAACTGATTGGAGTTGAACTGAACTGAGTTTATTGGAGCTGAACTTAAATGAATAGAGCTGAAATGAATATTTTATGAGAGGAGAAAATTAGGAGTTGGACTGAACTGATTGGAGCAGAACTGAACTGAAATTAAGCTGAACTCTACAAGTCGTTATTATGTTCTTTTACAACAAGCCGCACATCAAACGAGCTAAAAAAATATATGTTCACTTATCGGTTTTGTTCATTTTTTTAAAAAAAATTCAAACCCAAAATTTAATCTAATTTCAAGGTTTGTTCTAGTTTAAACCTCCCATACACTCAATTGCTCTCTTATTGCCACAGCTCATAATTTTATATTTCAAATTTAATGTAATGACTAAATGCCTTTAATTGCTACATTGCGTACTCCACATTGTTTATTGTAAATCCATGTGTGATTTCCATGCATTAAGCGTAACAACTCACATGAATCATGATCACATAAAATTGTATGATACCTGCCCGCTGTATTCACCTAATTTTTAATTACAATTTGCTAAGGTGTCGTATAATTTGGTTTAGACTATTAGTGATATAAAATACTATTATGAGAATGTTGTGTTATTCAATGGAATCTATAGTTCTATTCTATTTAGTATATGGAGTATGCGGAAGTTCGACTACATAGATTTGACTGAATTAAACTAATGCAACTTGCAATGTCACCTAATCACGATATCATCACAACTTCCTGCCTTTTGCATATCACCTAGTACGTCCCTTTAGCTTCTTAAGGTGTATATTGACTATTGAGCTTATTCATTTAAAAAAAAAATATTATTATTCCGTTTATACATTTACGTTATATTTTTGTTAGTGAATGAGTGTTTACTATTTTAGTTACGGAGCAATTAACCTCTTATATATGAAGTACTCCATAGTATCTAAGACCCGAAACAGAATCTCGACACTATTTTCTTTGCGGCTCTCTAACTTTATTGAAATTTGACAAATAATATTCAGTTTAAATCCGATAATTGTTTTAGATGGGACATAATAAACATAGTACATCTAGATGCACCATTTAATTTTCAAGTGTCCAGCAAATTCTAAAGCCTTGTTTAACCTAGTCCATGATAAGGAGAAGCTAAGGGGAAAGATTTGACAAAAACTTTTGCATGCCCCGGTGTACAGTAATTTTATTGTACATCGAACATTTTGCGAAAAGTAACCCTTTTTTCTTATTTCTTATAAAAGTGGCCCTTTTTTTTTACAAAAGTGACATATCTTTACAAAAAGTGACCATTTTTTTTCACAAAAGTGACCCTTTTTTCTTACAAAAGTGATTTTTTTTTTTTTTTTTTTTTTTACAAAAGTGTCCTATATTTCACAAAAGTGACTTTTTTTCCACAAAAATGACCCTTTTTTTTTCATAAAGTAACTTTTTGTTCACAAAATAGGGTATCAAAATCAACAAAAATAAACACAAAATTAACCATAGTCATGAAAAAACAATACAATCACCCAAACAACAAATCAAAATAATAAAGATCCACATCACATAACAACAAAATTAAAAATAAAATAAAATAAATAAATAAAATGTAAATCAGAAACAGAATTTGTTCGAGTCACTCATACTTTACTAACATTGACGGTTTGCAGAATTTTTAGTCACCCTGCTTCATAGGTTCGGCATTTCTACTCCAATTGTAAGAAAGCTGCAAAATTCAACTGCTTTTGCTATACCATCAAAGGATTCTGCTGCAATTGTCTAAAGTTTTCCTTGTTATGGGAGGAAAAAAAGGATGTCAACTCAGATGGGGTATGTTTGCCTTTTGTGTTGATTTGCAGGTTTTGGAAGAGTTGTGTCTTGTGTGGGTGTTTAAGGTTGTTGTGCTGGGGTTGGTTCTGGTCTTTGTTTCACTATGTTCGCCCAACATGATGCGGCTGATCTGATTCTGGTGGTGGCGGCGGTGGTGCGGCTGATTTCGGCGGTGACTCCATTGCTAGAGTTGAGGTAAGAGAGAGAATTGAAGTTGCCCAACCCGATTTACACTAATTTAGAATCGGATGTTATTAAATATTTGTGAAGACTTTAAAGGCCCAACAACCTTTTTCGATTACAACTTATACTACGTACAGTACGTAGTTTATATGACAATTATAAATCTTGTTAGAACAAAACTTCCTTCCCCAGTTATCTACCTTCCTTTTTAAAAAAATAAAAATAAAATAAAAAATTCTACCTTCCTCGTGTAAATAACACTATGGGAAGTTCAGGACAAAAAAGAATTGAAAGTATATTTCCCATTTCTTTCCCAAAATCATGTACTTTTATACTCCAATTCCACATTTCCAGATTTTTTTTTATTTTTATTTTTTATTTTTTTGTGAGTTGGTAGGAACAAAAACTCTATTCCGCATGATTTTTTACAAGAACATATGATTAGTAAACAACTTCTCTAAAATACAATTGCCATGATAACCCATTAAAATTTGATCAATATAGATAAATATCATCATAGGAGTACATTACATTTTATAGTAACCTAATCAGCTCCCTAAACTGTAAACATCCCATAATATATTTCATATATACATTATAAAACTTTGATCAAAGTATAAATTTTTTCAAGGTATTACAAGTTTTACAACCAATCATACTACATTCAAAAATGGTGATTTTCCTCAAACAAGTGCTCCACCTTTAACAAACTCAGTGAAAGCCAAGGCAACAAGGCCTAACATAGCAATCCTACCATTCCATAGCTCGGCGTTTGCGTTCATGAAACCACTGGTCTTTGCTTCAGCTCGCTCACCTTTGAACAACGGCACCAATGATGCTACTGATAAAAGAATGCTGGTTCCTAAGAACCATTGTGCACCACCGTCGGATATCTGAGAAAACAAGTCTGTGCCTTGTGATAATTCTACGGCTATTGCCGCCACGAAACCGATCATGGCTAGACGCCCGTTGATCCTTTCGGGTGCAGGGCCACTGAAGGCCAATAGGTCTGTGAAATTTGTGCTTACCTGTGGAATGCAAATATAGATAATTTAGTATAATTTCTGGGTTGTTTTGTTAATGAAATTCATAAATTGACACAAACAAATCTTACATAGACTAACATATACATTTGACTATATTATAGAATTTATGATATATCATAACAAATTAGACTTGTAATATTAAAAAAAATTCTACGAATGGAAAAAAATGGATTAATAGATATAGATTAGTCACGATAATATACCTTTTTAGGCTGAGGCCTAGGGGGTGGAGTTGGGGTGGGAGAAGATACGCTAGGGTATGACTTAGGCAAATCGGAGTCAACAACCTTGGGTTCACCTTCAGTCTTTTCCTCAGCCATACACTTCACCCCAAAATTAACCCGCTTTCCCATCCGGGGGTTAAACCCTAGAGGAGAAACCTTGGAAGACCCATTAGCGAAGGCGCTAGCGGAGTTGGATAGAAGGGCTTGCACTTGCATAGACATTGCCATTATAATCAACAAACTTTGTATCTAACTTAGATTAAGCAAGTAATCAACTACAAAAAAATTGAACAAGCAAGTAAGAAGATTGAACTAATTAAGCTTTATGAATGAAAGTGTGTATGATTCTTTAATTTGATGAAGTATGCATGTGAAGTGTAACGTATTTATAATAAAGTAGGTAGGATATAATTTAAGGGATACATTGATTCCACGTCGAGTAGCAAAATTGAAGGTGTCACGTAAAAATTGAAAGAGGGGGTGTTGTGGACTCTAATATTAGCCTTAGGCCACTTGTAAGTGGGACAATTGCAAATTGTTGATGTTCTTCTTTCAACCACTAATTTGGAGTTTCCATACCTTTTTGGCTATTTCTCTTGGGACCAGAAGCATCTAGTCCTTTACTTCTATTAACTTTGTGTAAATTAAATTGAAGTATAAGGGAAATTTATTGAGCAATGCAACAATATTTTAACTTGTTCACGTGTTTATTTTACACCCCTATAGTATTTATTTGTTACCGTTGGAGTTTTTTAAATGGCCACCAAAAAAACACAAGTTAGACCATTACTCCATTCATTTCTAATTACTTGTTTTGATCAACCTGTAACTTATTGTATACAGTTCCTCGGTTTTTATAACCACATTATAAAACCTCGTCAATTGTTCTCTTAACTAGTTTAGTATCCGTGCACGGTGGTTTTAGTAATTTTTCTACGGAGTATATATTTTTTTTCTTTTTTTGTTGATAACTTTATAATATGACTAGATATAAGCCCGTGTGATGCACAGTTCTAGTAAATCTTTTTAATTAATTTAAGATTTTTTTATAGGAAGATCATTCATCGGATATTTGAATAAAATTCCTAATATCATAAGATATTTTTTTTAATTTTAACACTAAAGTTATCTTAGGTTCATTTATTTTACATGGCGCTTGAATTTAAAATTCCAAACCTTATTCTTTAATTTTTCTTAATAAAAAATAATTGACAAATCATTTTATTTATTGACTAAAATAAGTCCTTTGCAAATGCGTTTTTTTATATATTCGTTCTGTTTCAAAATGTTAGTCTCATCTAAAATCTTTTAACTATTAAAAAAATTAGGGGGAATCTTCTAAATTTCTCTTTGTATATAAGGAAAAACATAGTGATATGAGATTTAATTTTATTCGTTTCGATGAGTACATTTTTAATATCTAATTTTTATAATATTTGCTAGGGAGAAATTAAAGATATTTACAATCAACGATTTACATCCATATATGTAAATAAAGATAATTATTAGTTTTTTAAATAATTTAAATTTTAATTGTTCACTATTCGTTATTTTTACCTAGATGGCAAAATTCTTAAATCTTATTCGTCACTTTTTCTTAGGTGGCGAGTGAATTTTTTAATTCTAAAATAAATTATTAATCTAAAATTTCATTGGTCAAAATAATACTTTTTTCTTATGTGGCGCGTCAAATGCTCCCGAAAAAATGCCTACTTTATTTATATATATATTAGATTTGGCTCGTCATTTTAAAATAAAAAATTGTTCAATAAATATTTTAAAAAAAAAACAGGTACATAAAAAAAATGGTTATTATTTAATGATGTATCATAATGTAATATATGATATGTTATTAAAAAATACTAAAATGATGGTTAGATTAAATATATTAATGTTGCATAAATGTATAATTCATTAAGTTTTATACGTTTAGAGTGGAAGCTTAATAAATGTGTGTTTACTATTAATTTTTTTTTTAATGTGTATTATTGATTTGTTAAAAAATATGTATAATTAGTTACCAACATCAATGTCTTTTAATATTGTTGTATTATGAATATCCCAAAGTAGTGTGGAGTATATACAACAATATTGATGTCAAATTCAAGTTTCACACCTAATTGGTCCTAGTTTATAGTAAAACAAAAAATAAAAAATAAAAAAAATAGATGACATCATATGTAAAATTTGGAGGAAATTTTTTATATGAGAGTTTGACACGTAAGCACTTTAAGAAATTGATGACATCATCAACATTTTGCTTTAGTAATAGTTAATAGATTTATTTAGAGTATTATAATTCAAAACTTTGATTGTGTTTTTTAAGGATTTTTTTTATTTTTTATTTATTTATTTATTTTTTATAAAAGGGAAGGATGGAGTAATACTGCAACACTTTCAATTTTAAGTTTTTAGTGTTAAGAAAATAGCTCACGTGTAAGTTGGTACTAATAGTCCTATATTGAAATAAATAAATAAAGGACAAATGATTTGCTTATAATATTTGTGGGTGTAGACACCCATTTGTGTCTCTCCAAAACCAACTCTCATTAAGATTTTCTTGATTATTCTCTCTCTCTCTCTCACTTTTTCTAAACTAGCCTTTTCTCAAATACAAAATTCCGCATTCGCAAGACTTAGATACGCCTAGCCATATTCGAAGTTGCCTTCGCCCTAGACGTGAAAGGTTTTAATTTCTGAGGGTTTGGTCCCAAATCTCTATTTCAATTATTTAATTTAATTGTTGTTGTTTTATTATTTTCCTTGAAGTTACTAACATGTATATTTTGTTATTAGAAAGAGGTACGAGGCATCAAAGTAAGTGCTTTAATGGTTTTAATTGATATTATGATGTAGAAATCATGTTTTCATTGTTATTATGATATTCCTAGTATCATGTCTAGGGTAATTTAATATTAAATATGATTGTTACGATACTTCCTATGTTCTTCCTAATATTTATGATTGTTAGTATCATGTTAGGGCTAAAGTTTTGATTTTTATTGCTTAGTAACATGCTAGGGTTTGTTATTAATCTTGTTAGTATCATGCCTAGGATCTTGCTATTATTATTATGCTTTAATATTAACATGAACATGATTATGATTATAATCGTTATAATTTATGAATATGATTATTATTATTTTGATGATGATTATTTTATCTATGATGATATTATTATTATGTTTATTCTAATGATTGATTATTTATTATGTTGCTTGATTATATTTATTGTTAGTGCTTGATCACGCCTTTATGCATGTTTAAAGGGAATTTGTACCAGTAATCACGCTTAATAAGATAATTAATAATCTTGTTAGGGTTAATTTTGATTATAATTTTAAGTGATCACCACTAATAGTTTATTTGTGCATTAAATTCAACCAACATAGATAAACAGGTTTAGGGTTAATCCTATTGATTGCATGTTAATTAAAAAGCGCACATGAATACGATCAGAATAAAGTAGAGGCCTATTATTAGGGCATGTTCAATCTCTTTTAGGTTGGATTTGTACCTTCATCCCCGAACCCTTATTTGGTTCTAGACCTTATGGAGTTGACGATCTCTTGGATCGTTAAGGGGTGTAACCTTCACCCTGTGAACGGTTTACAAGTTCCTAAAACTTGTTGGCGACTCTTTTGCTCTATCTTCTTCCCTTTTGGACGCCACCGTACATTAGTGTATGATCACAGTGGGGTTCAAGCTAGTGGGATTAAAGCTTGAAATCTATTCCCTACAGTGGGCTATTTTGCCAATGTTGAAATCCTATTATTCTATTGTCTAACTTCTCATAAATGATAAAAATAATAATAATACTTTCAAGGGACGTTTGGTTCACGGAATATAGGTATGAATGTATGAAGTATGAATTTAGAATGACTAAAATCCATACCATATGTTTGGTAATCAAAATTATGAATTTTAAACCCAGAGCTCAAACCCGTTAGGTATGGGGTTTATAAACCTTGGGGGGGAGTTGGATTTGGCCCATTCCATTCCTTAGCTATATATACATGGTATTAAGGGAATGAGATTCTATTCCAGAATTAAACCAAACACATGATATTAAATATCGAGTTCCAACCTTTCCTCAAAAAAAAAAAAAAAAAAAAAAAACAAGTTCCAACCCAATATCACATTAGCTCCATTTCTGATTCCAAACGCATACCACTCTACAAACCAAACGCCCCCTCAATTTTACATTTTTAGTGTTAAGCATTAATGTATGTGTCAATGACCATCTAATGGTACTACCATACTACTTTTACTTTCAAATATTTGTTAGACATTTGGTAAATCATCACAGACTTAGGCCCCGTTCTCTTCACCTTAATTTTAGTGAACTAAAATTATTTTTACTGAACTAAAATTAAAATTATTTTTGCTGAACTTAATTATTTTTGATGAACTGAAATTATTTTTACTGATTTTCTATTCTTTAATAAAACTGATTTTTGCTGAACTGAACTTATTTTTACTGAACTGAAATTATTTTTACTGAACTGAAATTAATTTTACTTAACTGAACTTATTTTTACTGAACTGAAATTATTTTTACTTAATATTATTTTTTTAAGGTGAAGAGAACAGGGCCTTACAATTAGGCCCCATTCACTTAACCTTATTTTTGCTGAACTGAAATTATTTTTATTGAAACAAAATTATATTTGTTGAACTTAAATTATTTTTACTGAACTTAAACTAGTTTTACATAACTGAATTTATTTTTGCTGAATTGAAGTTATTTAAACTGAATTTCTATTATAATTCTTCTTTAAGATAACTGAATTTTACTGAACTGGACTTATTTTTACTGAACTGAAATTAATTTTACTGAACTGAACTTATTTTTACTAAACTGAAATTATTTTTATTTAATATTATTTTTTTAAGGTGAAGTGAACAGAGTCTTAGTCGATAGTTTTTACTCATCCCCCTATCAACAATTATTTTCAAAATGGAAACCTACTGTGCTTTGTAATATTACAAATTCTTAAATGGACCTGGTTCACATTAACTCATTGTGGACCACAAACATCAGGAAAATTATGGTTGTTTTATTAGTTACAAAAAAGAGTCACTATAATAGAAAAAAGGTCTCTATGTTGAAATAAAAGTCATTTTGGTTATATATAGGCTATAAGAGGTTAATTTTTTTAATAAAATATTTTATATACCGGTTAATATGAATAATAAAAGTCACTATGTTAAAATTAGGGTCATAACGTTATACTTTAAGTTCACAATAATATTAAAAGTTAAACTAGTTTTAATAAAGGTTACTATGTTAAAAATAGGGTTACTATGTAAAAATTAAAGGTTACTATGTTCAATATAATGTCATTTGCGTGTGTATAAACCTCGGGTCCACAATAACA